CCAATCTTTAGGGCACCAATTATCAAGCCAGAAGTTTATGTCTCCTTTCTCCAAATCCCAAATGAGCAAGTTTTCAGCAGTGTGTCTGATATTTAGCATTTTTTCCCAAATTTTGGAATCCCCTATCTTCCTTTCAACAAGTGTGGGGTGCTGATCTCTACAATACTTCCCCTTCATGAAAAGAGCCCACAGAGAAGTCTGAGCTCTGAATTTAATCCAAAGCTTGCATAAGTTTATTTGGAAGAGCTGATTAATACCCTTGAACCCAATTCCCCCAGTTAGTTGAGGTTTAGCCACTTTTTGCCAAGAAGCCCAATGCATCTGTTGCCTCTGTCCAGACTATAGAAATCTGTTAAATGCCCTTTCAAGCTGTATCTGGGTGCTTTGCTTGATGTTAGTCATCTGTAGGATATAAGAGGGAAAAGTAGTTAGAATGCTTTTCAGTAGAGTGATTCTGCCCCCATTTGAAAGGAAGGAATGAGTCCACCCATTAAGGTAGGTAGTGATCTTATTTATGACTTCTTCAAATTGAATTTGCTTGGTTCTTCCAGTAAGAAGCATGGTCCCCAAATACTTGACAGGAAGCTGAGAATTAAAGAAGCCAGTATAGCTAGAAGCCCATTATTTGCAGTTAGGATTAACATGTTTATTAAAGATCAGCAGGCATTTCTCTGGACTAAAACACATACCAGAGTGTGTTTGGAACTTTTGAAGAGTCTGATACACTTTCCTTACAACATTTTTATGAGCTCTAGAGAAAATCATGATATCATCAGCATAGATCATGTGGGTGATAGCAAAGTTGGATCTATGATGATAGATAATATAGTTTTGGCTTAGAAGAGAATCATCAAGCATTCTGGATAAATAATCAATTGTTATAATAAACATAGTGGGGGATAAAGGGTCCTCTTTCTTCAAACCTCTGGAGGCAGTAAAAGAGCCCCAGCCTTTACCATTTATGAGAATATAATGATTATTTTTGTGAAGCCATCTATGTATCAGTTGGCAGAAGTCAGAGCGAAAACCTCTAGCAGCAAGAACATCCATAATGAATCCCCAACTGATTGTATCATAAGCCTTTTTCAAATCCAATTTGTATATCAAATTACCACCTCTACAGGTCTTATTCAGGTCATTCAGAAGTTCCTGTGCCAAGAGAGTGTTGTCAATAATAGATCTCCCCTTCACAAATGCAGTCTGATTGGGTTTAATAATGTGTTCAAGATGAGGTTGGAGTCTATTGACAATGATTTTGCTGATCATTTTGCTGATTACAGTGGCTAGATAAATAGGTCTAAAGTGATTCCAGGTGGTTTGTATCTCAGATTTGGGGATCAGCACAAAGGTAGAAGCACTAAAATACTGTGGGAGATTGTTTCCTTGGAAAAAACTGGCCACAGCAGCAATCACCTCAGGTTTAATAATGTCCCAAGATTTATTATAAAACTCAGCTGTGAAACCATCAGGACAAGCTGCTTTGCTACTATCAATAGAGTTAATAGCCTTCCAAATCTCCCCTTCATCAGGAATGTCAGCAAGTTTTAAATTGGCAGTGTAATCCTTCTCAGCATTAAAATGTTCTGGATCAATAGGGCTTTTAAGATTGTTCTCATGAGTCAACAGATTTTTGAAATAGTTTACAGCATCATTGGCTATTTCAGCATTTTCATGAAGCCAATTCCCCTCAACAGTCTCAATAACATGAATAGTATTACATTTCCTTTTATACTTTATGTAAGCATGGTCAAATTTGGTATTCCTGTCCCCCTCCTTGAAGATGTTCATTGCAGCTTTTTGCTTTAGATATTGGTCTTGGTAGTCAATAGCAGTAAGTAGTTTATTTTGAGCAGTTAGCAGTTCTTTGTCCTCAGCTAATCCCTCCTGTTCAAGTTGCTCTAATCTTAAGACTTCCTCCTCAAGTTCCTGCACATTTGTGAAGACATTCCCAAAAGTTCCTCAACTCCAACTCCCCAGAGCTTTAGCAGTTTTGATCTGTAATAAGATGAGTTTGATAAGAGGGTCAGTATGTGAAATCCCATTCCAAAGGTTGACAATGTACTGATTGTAGGAAGGATGAGAAGACCACATGTTCAGATATCTAAATGGGGAGGGGGAAGATGTATTTTCTGAGGAAGTGATGCTGATAAGGATAGGTCTGTGGTCAGAACCAACAAGACTTAGATGGGTAACAAAAGTGAAAAGGAAGTGATTGTACCATCTATCGTTGACCAAATATCTATCAAGTCTTTCCCAGATTTTACCCCTCTTCCAAGTAAATGCGGGACCAGCCCAAATCAAACAGCCCAAATCAAACAGTCCAGCCCTGTGGATATTATCAGCGAAAGTATTCATTTTAGTAAGGTTAGGAGCTCTACCCCCAATTTTTTCATTAGGAGAAGCAATGCAGTTAAAATCTCCCCCCACAATCCATGGGGAATCCATAAGCTGACTGATATTCAAAAGGCAATTCCACTGCTCCTTTCTAGCTTCCTTATTACAACCTGCATAAGTGAAAGTAGCAAAGCCCGCATGGCTGTTAATATTGAACTTAAAATGGACAAATTGTTTGTGATTAACAATGATGTTCCATCAGATTTCTTTTCTACATAAAATCCAGATTTTATTATTGGTGTTGGCAAAGTTAATGAATCCATGGAATTTCTTGGTAAGCTTTTGGTGGTTTTTGTGAATCATAGGCTCAAGAATCACAATGCACCAAGGTTTATATTTATGGTTTGAATGTATTTTAAGAGAGAGGGGATTGGCAATTCCCCTAATGTTCCAGCAAAGGATATTAATCATTTGTTGGGTGGATTTGTAGGGATGGCTGTGATCTTGATCTGGTTCTTCCTCTATGATGCTGGGGAGAACCAATCTTAATACTAGCTTTACTCTCAACCTGTCTTGATCTTCCCTGTTGTAATTTCTGAACTTCATTTATTTGTTTTTTTTTCCTTCTAGTTATTTGTACCTGCCCAGAGCTCTCCCTATGTTAAACAATGCATTCAGCTTGAAGAAAGGAAGTGGAAGCCCAGGGAACTTGTACTAAATAGGAACCACAGGTGGTTCTTTACTTGGATCAAAGTTAGGGGTCCATTTTACAATTTTCATGGTAGTTCCAACAATGATTACAGATTGCTTTGCAAAAGATTTTGCATAATCTTCCTCAGCAGTTAATTGGATAAGCAGGTGCCTTCCATCCATCAGCCCTATCTTCCAATTACCAATAAATTTTAGAGATTCAAAGAAATTTCTACCCAGCTCCATTTTTGGGTGTCCCAACTGAAATTTCCCTATTAAAGTAAACTTCACATCTTCTTTTAGAGAGATTATCTTTCTGTTAGTGAAGAACACAACGGTTTCTCCCTCCTTGGATCCAAGTGGGTGGATGCAAGGACAGCTTCCTTTACCTGCAGCAGTATCATGAAACTCCTGAGGGAAAACCAAATGGTCCAGATCCTGTAGAACATCAATAGAGTTTCCAACAACCCCAGCATAAGTTGCCTTGGTCCAAAGAGAATCAGTAGCATCATCAATGGGTGTGGTCATGCTGAAACTGCAGCAGAGAACAGCAGCTATAGAGCAGCCAGGGAGAAAACCAATGGAACAGTAAAACCCAACAACTTGCACTAACAAAACTCCATCACCACCAGGATAAAAAACCAGAAAGGAAGAAACATCCACAAGCTACCACCCTAGAGTACCCCTTCAGCCAGCGG